AAAAAGAGGAAGATTGGCTGATGTTATTAGCACAGGGCTGATCTCCTCACAAAAAAAAAAAATCCCTGCTCTTAGGGAATTTACATTCTAGTAGGTGGAAGAAATAAGCACTTTATCTGGAGCACCAGAAGACGAGCGCTGTGAGGACACAGGGCAGACTCTCCCGTCCTCGTACCTGATCAGCCGGCCATTTTCCACGTAGTACTGCACGCGGAAGTGGATGATCATGGGGGGCCCAAAGTGGTCAATGCCCTAACACAAAGAAACACATAAAAATTAAGCTATGTTTAGTTATTTCAAAAATGGGTTTCAAAAGCAACAAGATACCACTTTTTAAACACTGAGAGGTTTTTCCTACTTCTAATGAATGGGGGCTTGCCGTGGGTAGACAGTGGAAGCATCTGGATACCAGGTTCAGGCAAAACCAGGAAGTTCTAAAGCATCATCCCTGTATCTGATATCATGCCCTGTGATGCCAATGATGACACACGGGGAGATAACAATAAACGCCAGTGGACACTTCTCGCTGCCCCAGCTCCCCTCTTGCTCTGTCCCCTGTTCCCCTGTGGTGACCATCTGCTCCTCATTCCAACGTTCTCTTGTTCCTCTGACATTCCACACACCAAATTCTAATATGCTGTTTGTTTATTTAGACATTCATGTCCCTTACTTTGTAGTTGGCTTTGAAGTATCTTCCAGTTTATTCCAAGAATTCTTAAATACAAATTGGAGGATCTAGGATTAGACACTGAGGATTTACTCCTGGCTTACTAGGGTGATGCTGGAAACACTAGGTAAATTCCCCGTGAATGCTACATGTAAATGGAATTGATGTTTACTAAATAAAGGACCAGTACAACAAAGTAACAAAGTATCATATGTAAGTATAGTAAAAGTAGATTTAAAAATTACTAATAACTTCTAGAATGTAAGTTTTGGCAACTAACATACGCACAGAAGAGGAACAAATACTTTTTCCACACTTTTCACTTCAAAGCATTACCCTAAGATTACTAAAAAGTTATCATCCAACATTATTTTAGCAGATATCTAAAATCTATTGTTATATGCTATATGCTATAAGCTATTAATACTTCATTAATGTGACATTTTAGAACTTATAATTCATTTTCCTTGCCCATTCTCCACTGTATAAAGTATTAAGATATTTTTCTAATGCATAATAGCTGAAATAAACCCTTTAAAAAATCAAAATTTTCCTCACAAATGTAATCTCACCCAAGTGACTTCATATTGGCGTACCTTGCTGGCTTCTTTCTTCCATTCTTTTGGACAATACTTATAAAGCTTTTGTGACAATTCCATATACACATGTTCATTATCTGCACATTTAAAAAAAGGAGACAAGATGACAGAGGATAGATTTTTTAAAAGAATATACGAAGGAACAGGTTTTTTAAAAAAGCCCCAAGATTTGTGAATGTACTCTGCGTTCACATACTACCAGGAAAGCTCAACAAGATACTGAAAGATAAAAGGTTCTGTGGGCTAGACATCAGATTCTTTATGAATTATTTTGCTTTTGTAATACAGAACACATGCTATTAAAAATATGTAATAATTAGAAAAAATATTAGTCTCCAACTCCTGCTTTTACTTAGTTTCTAGGGTCATTATAACTCATAGTTTAACTTCCAACACTGTGCGCATTACTTGGTCTTAGAAAAACATGCTTTTGTTTAGCTCAGAGGACTCTTCTCATAGGTGCAAAATAATGAAATAGGGCAGAAACACCATCCGACCTGCTATGTAAGCAGTTAGAAAACATTCATGATAACAGCCCACTTCCAGAGGAGTGGGACCCATGCTTTCTGAAAAACAGTCTGTAAGACGATTCCTTCTCTGTGTTCGCACATAAAACACAGCATGACAAAATGACACTCCATGACTTGTACTGCCTGCGAGACTGATCTTGTGGGAAGAAGAGGAGAATCTTATGCAAAGCAAGAATGAATGCCAAAATATTTCTTCAAGGGAATGATGCTCTTAAGATGAAAATAAGACTGCTAAAAGCCCAGTAAAAATGATCTAAACATGTGAAAACAAGCTAGTAAAAAATAAAAACATTTTCAGATTTCCCAAAGAGAATCTTTTAGAGGACAGAGATATTTCACAAGAAAAGCCTTCAGCTTTCCTATCTTGTACAAAGTTTTAAATCTTTTTTTGAAAAGCGTCTTCCCCTCTTTTTCTCTAAGCATCACCAAGGGGGCATGCTCCTGGAAAGCTCTGCATGAAGGGTATTCACTCTAGAAGGAAGTGTGTCTCTCTGACTACTAAGGATGACACACGTGACCACACTGTCACTCCTTACTGAATGCAAGGGTTCCAATGAGACAGCACCATAGAGAACAGGAAGGGAGAAGCTACTCTTCACCTGTAAATAGCATATTAAGTCAACCAATTATAAGAAAGGGATAAGGAAGAGGTCCCAGAGACAGAAAAGAGGATGCTACTTAAATCCACTTAGATCAACTAAAACTATCTCCCATCTCTCATGCTACCGATTAAACATGAAATGGACGAGATCAGACAGCCTTCCTGTTCAATCTGATTTGTGTTTGGCTTGAGTTCCTGCCTGAAGAAGCAACAAAACGAACAGAACTGAGACTGTTCACCATAATAACACACATATATTTTTAAATGATCACAATGTCTCTACCATCTGGCAGTCTGACAGAGCTCTATACTTTAAGAATTCTCAAGCACATGTCAATCCTGCAAAGCAGGTGGAGCAGTCATTTCCATGTGACATGTGGGAAAACTGAAACTGAGAGAAGTCAACCACACGCGTAAGGCCACACAGCCAGCTGGCAGCGGAGCTGGAACTGGAACCAGATCATCTGATCCCTGTCCCAACGCTCCTTCACCACACCGCAATCTCGCTTTCACAAAGGACATCTCAAAAACGCTTATTCTGAAACCTAAGGAAGCTGTGAACTGGTTTTATTAGGCTGACTTGTTGAACAACAAACATCAACAGTCTGGCCGTAGGTGTGTATAAAGAATTAACTCTGAGTATAGAATAAAAGTGAAGTTATTTAGAATCCATAGGACATCTTATTTCTCCCTTCCTTGAAAGAATGACTGAGGTTTGTACTAAGACAAGGATGGAGCTGAGCCATTTGTTTCATTGCTTTAACAACCACAGGAAGGGGGTGGCTGCATGGTGTAGCGGTTAAGTGCACGCGCTCCGCTGCTGGCGGTCCGGGTTCGGATCCTGGGTGTGCACCGTCAAGCCGGGCGCGCACTGATGCACCGCTTGTCAAGCCATGCTGTGGCGGCGTCCCATATAAAGTGAAGGAAGATGGGCACGGATGTTAGCTCAGGGCCAGTCTTCCTGAGCAAACAGAGGAGGATTGGCATGAATGTTAACTCAGGGCTGATTTTCCTCACCAAAAAAAACAACCACAGGAAGAACGGAGGAGCGAGTCATTGATTCGTGGGTTCATGATGTGTTACCACTCTACGCTCACTGGCCTGTGCTAGAAAGACAACTGGAAACAGCTCACATTTTGGAGAAGGGTCTTGTTTATTAGGTGATCGTGATATGCTTTCCAACCTAGTAGATCTAAGCATTTTATGGTACTAACCAGATTCTCAAGATACCATAAGCCTTAAATTTAAACCAATTCCAGTAGTAGAAAATAATCTATATCTAAGTAGAAAACATAAAAACACTTCACAGAAAAAGTCTCCTTGAAAAACTGAGCAAAGATAGAAAAGGTTTTTGGCATCTGGAAGACTAAATTAGAGAAACTGAAAACCATGATTTGAAAGAAGAAAGCTCATAAGGAACAGCTGCAGGTAAACCTGGGCCCTCAGCTCCAACTCAGGTGTCGTGGGAGCGCCTACATGAAGCCCTTGTCTTGAAAACCTTCTCCACAGAGACGCAAAAGAAATGCATCCACACCTCCAAGTCACATGTCCTGACTGCAAGGAGAAAGGGCACGGAGGGAAAAACAGAAAATGAGAGTAAATTGACAGGTCCCTTTGTTATACTATATGGCCAATAGCAAGAGGATTTGAATGGAGGAAAGGCAGTGTTATTACGTCTAAATGTCATTTAATGTTTAAAATTTTAAAACAAATTAAATTACAAAAACACCCAAGATAATTTCCTAGCAGCTCCAGCTGCTCCCTGAGTGCAAGAAAACAAAAATCAAGCTTGGTTCATTAACACATAAAAGAGCAAACACATAAAATCCAGACTCCTACAGAGGAAGCTTTCTTTTTTTTGTGAGGATGATCATCCCTGAACTAATACCCAATGCCAATCCTCCTCTTTTTGCTGAGGAAGATGGGCCCTGGGCTAACAACCGTCCCCATCTTTAGAGGAAGCTATTTTTAAGTTCAAACTATAATAAATACATGACCTAAAATTCTAAATCTTATAAGAAATACACAACAGTTAAGTTTAAAAAATGAATACTAGACTAAAAATGATGATTGATTTATGAGTATTTTGACAATCACAATTGTATAACAATATGCCCAATTTAAGTTACGGCTATAAAACGTCATTTCCTCAGGGATAGTTAGCTAAATCCATCAGAGGTGGGACTAAGACTTACTTTGTATAACACTGAGTCCAAAGAGGTGACAGTCCTTTAGCCTGAGCAGGTCACACACCTGGACCAGCAACTGGTGACACAGAATTTTAACCTGCAGGGAAAAAACGCTCACAACTTGAGATAACAATCCAAGCCTACACAATGAACCACAACCAGGCAATCTAATGCAGATAAACACCCTCCTTGAAAGGACCAGCTTACAACAGCAAAACAACTGCTGGGTCATGGAAATCACTTTAACCTGTGGCTGTGTTTCTGTAACGATTATCACGATACAAATGTTTACAACATGGTAATACAGTCCCAATGCAATCTTGTATAAAACTCATAAATCTTGTCATACATGGACAAGGCCACACTCTAAAACCATGACGCATGATAAATGAATATTGCAGAAGGAACCTACAGTACGAATAGCCTACCCAGGTTACCAAGAGTATTAATTTGGCAAGTATCCTTATAAGGAAAGTTTTCCTCTTGATATACTCATATACTGCTCAATGAGAGAATACCTAGCTTTTATTTATCTTAATCACTTTTATTGTCTCATATCTTTTAAGTACTAAACCAGGTTCCTTTTCTGAATCCTAGTATAATTCAAACATAATAAAACCATATTAATTTGGAACACTGGGGATAAGTTATCCTGAAAAATTACATGTGGAATGATAAAAGAGTCTTCAAAGAATACAGTTTTTATGCCTTCTGAAATGTTTAAGGAAGTGTTTTGGGGAACAGTAATTCTGCTGAGTCTGCTTTGTTGAATTTAGAATCACTAAAGCTCATTAGTTGGGACTGACTTCAAGAGACCATACAAGTCAATTTCTTCATTTTATAGAAGTGGAAAATAAAACCCAGAAAGCTTAAAGTCATGTAGCTAGTAGTGGCAAAGGCAGCAACACACAACTTTGCTCATTTGTGTATTATTTTTATATGTGTACATTAAAACAAGTGCAACACGACAGTGTATCACGTTAGCTGTATATATTATGTGTGGCATTTCCCCTCATTTGTACTATTAACTTGCAAATTCTTTCTTCAATGATAATGATGCCAACTACAATTTTAATTATTATAAATTCTAAATTAGTTAACTCTGAATTAATGACTTTTTATCATACCTTTTTTTTGTGTGTGTGAGGAAGATCAGCCCTGAGCTAACATCTATGCCAATCCTCCTCCTTTTTTTTCCCTTTTTTCTCCCCAAAGCCCCAGTAGATAGTTGTATGTCACAGTCGCACGTTCTTCTAGTTGCTGTATGTGGGATGCCGCCTCAGCATGGCTGGACAAGCGGTGCGTCGGTATGCGCCCGGGATCTGAACCTGGGCCGCCAGTAGCGGAGCGCGCACACTTAACCGCTAAGCCATGGGGCCGGCCCTATCATACCTTAATATGTAACTAAGATTTGAAAAATAAAAACATGCTGAGATCCCTTGATAACTGAAAGCAAAACAATTCAGAATGGTGATAATGATACTGGAATAAGAACAACAGGTTTACTGCTCTTTTTCACATTCATATGGCAACTAATCTGAAGCACTGTATCCACTGGGAAGTGCAAAAGGCATTGACGTGAGGCCACAGCAGCACAATTCCACTGCTCAGAAGCACCAGGAAGCAGGGACAGTGTCTTTTTGTGTGTGTGTGTGTGTGAGCAGGACCAGCCCTGAGCTAACATCTGATGCCAATCCTCCCCTTTTTTCCTTGAGGAAGGTTGGCCCTGAGCTAACATCCGTGCCCATCTTCCTCTACTTTATATGGGACGCCACCACAGCATGGCTTAACAAGCGATGCGTCCATGCGCGCCCGGGATCCCAACCTGCGAACCCCGGGCTGCCGCAGCCGAGTCAGCACACTTAACCGCTTGCACCACCAGGCTGGCCCCGACAGTGTCTTATTTTATATCCAGGACATACAGTAGGCACTCAGTAAATGTTTGATGAATAAAAGCCAGGAGTCTGTGTCCCCCGTGGGCTCCTAATTTTCGTTCTGTTCCATGACTACTGACCCCCTGAGCAGATCATTCTATAAATGTGCCATTCAAGAATTTAGGGAAAACGTATCAATGCAAACCCATCAACACCGCTGGGAGAATACATCTGTCAGTAGAAAATCATCATCTTTATGCATTAAAAAGACTTTGAATTTTGAGTTTTATATTACCATAATTCCACTTTACAAATAAGCTTAAATAAACAGATTGATAAAGAAAAAAGTATCAAATGTTATATAAAATTGAACTATAACACTACAAATTTGAGACTTAAAATGTCCTACAGTCTAGGATACCTTTAAGCCTTAGTTTTGACTGTAGTATTTAAAAATGTCACATATAAAGCACTCAGGATAAAATGTGATAAAAAGTTAACAGAAAAATTCCAAACCACAAATGGTATATAAAATAAACTATGTTGTAACTTTGGGTAACTGTTGGTCAAATAATGCTGTACATTTCCTCCATACATCCCATATAATTATTATTGTTCTACTAGTTTAAATCAAGTATTTGGAGCCTACTGATAAAGCTCTTTAACAACTATCAAGTAAGCACAATGTCCTTGTTTAAAACTGTAATCAAGTAAGGCTGTGGCCCTGAAGTCTTACCTGCTGTGAAAACAAGCTTGAGTTTTTTATATTTGCAAATTATGAGTTTTTAAGGCTACATTTTAGCTGACTGTGAAATATTTCAAGTTCTTTAATCTTTAGGAGCAATGGGATCTTTAAAAAGTGCTATAGAATATGAGATATTAAGAAATAAGAATTAAGGCATTATCTAAAAATATACTCTATATGGAACTTTTTAATAAAAATAGCATTTGACCCTAAATGTCAATGGTTTGTTAATGAGCAAGAATATTTAATATGCTCCAGAAAAAAAGAATTGTTCACTCTCATCTTAGTGCAGAAGTAAAGCTCTTGGCCATAATTGATATCACTCAAAAATGTTGTGGCTCTTACATTTACCATGATTTTATTTCCAAAATTTTCCAAGTTTCCATATTTAATATTTATTTGACGATTAAAATAATTTAAAACAGCCCCTTTAGTTCAATGCACAAGAATTCAGAATGACCAAAACATTAAATCTACCCCACATGCAGAAAGATAAAATTCTTTCAACTATACTTTTCAGGGAACAAACTTTCTTTGTTTAAAACATATTTAGAAATGATGAAAAAATGAGACCATTGATGAAAATCTTTTGCCCAGTTAATTTATTATACTTATACTACACCTCTACAAACATCAACTGCTATTTTCTGAATACACACACAACACTTTCTAGAAAAAGACCTTTGGCAGCCTTGAACTGGTTTTCCCGCAGGGAGGCGCCTCTACTCACCCCTTACCACTCCTCTGTCTATCAGCATGCTAGGAAGGGGTCTAAGTATGGCAGGGGAGGCCACGTGTCCTGGAATAACAGGCCCACCCCTTCAGGCCCTCCATCTGAGTCTCATTAATAGAGAGCCCTAATGAAATGCGCAAAGAGCTCAAAGAAGTGAAAACAAGTGCTACTCTACTGTGTGCTCATGCACTGAGCAATCCCCGGGCCGCACTGCAATGAGCACTTCATGCATGTTCTATCTTTAAATCCTTGCAACGTCCCCGTGGGGACTAAGACTAGCTCCACTTTATAGATGAGGACACTGAAGCAAAAAACAAACTCGCCCAAGGCTGCAGAGTGAGTTGGGAAGAAGGGATCTCCACCTCGGTCCCTGTGACTCTAAAGCAGTCCTGAATCATGATATACGGCTTTGCAATCCACGACCACAGTGCTGACCATCCTGCAGGGATTATTATGTTAATTTGCAAAAGAAAGGAATTGAAGAAGCATAAAATTACTCTCTAAAGAATTAAAATAATAGTAGCAGCTACTATCTATGTGTCAGGAATTACGCTATGTGCTAACCCTGAATTCTCACAACCACCCACAGCATAGGGATTATTCCCATTTTATAGGCGAAGATGCTGACGCTGAAGGAGTTTAATGAACTTTCCAAAAGTCACTCAAGACATGGGATCTGAACTCAGGTCTGTGTTTTAAGCACATTCATGTCTTCTCCCTACCAGACTGCCCCTCAATTATTCTTCATAAAGGGAAGGCAGAAAGGGAGCTAATATAAACTGAGTGCCTACTATGTGCTGGATCCTGAGCAAGCTGCTTTGACAAGCGAGGAAGGTGACTGAGTTTATTCAACCTGTCCAAAGGTCACAAAACTAGTAAGTTGTGGAGTCAAAATATGAATGATCTTATAACATTTCTCAACAATAATGATGATTATATTACTATTAACAACGACCAACACTTGCCATGGCTGGAACACTGACACAATGCCAAAAACACAATCCAGTCAACAGAGTTTTGTTGAGTGAAATAAACTAGGTGGTGCTGGTAGACAGGTCTTTGCCTGTCTGGCTTAAGATTTTAAAGTATCGATAGCACCTGTTAACCAGCCCAGGTGGTCTAATGGTCAAGATCCGGTGCTCTCACCGTGTGGCCCGGGTTCGCTTCCGTGTCAGGGACCCACACTACCTGTCTCTTGGTTGTCACACTGTGGCGGCTGTACATTGCTGTGATGCTGAAAGCTATGCCACCAGGATTTCAAATACCAGCAGGGTCACCCATGGTGGACAGGTTTCCAGACTAAGACTAGGTAGAAAGACCTAGCATCCCACTTCTGAAAAAACTGGCCATGATACAGCACCAGAAGGTGGAAGGTGAAAAGATGGGGCAGGGGTCAACTCTGCTGTACACAGGGTCACCAGGAGTCGGAATCGACCTGACGGCATGAAGAAAAACAGTACCTGTTTAGGGGACCCTGTTAAATACAAATTCCTATGTCCTACCCTTGACTTACTACATCAGCATCTCCAAGGAGTGAAGCCCAGTCGTTTGAATGTTTAACAGGCTCCCCAAATAATTCTGATGTACATTCAAGTTTTAAAACCACTATCTATAAGAACAATGGATTGGGTATCTTCCAGTCTGTTCTCCATAATTATCTTCCTCAGCTAAGATCTTAGTACAAATTAATTTCTTAGAAAATTATAGTCAGCTCTTAGCATTCCTCATGATGTCCGAGTAGTTTTTCTTCCACTCACCTGTGGTCAGTAAGGTTTTGTTCCATGTCCTATATGTGTGCACAGACACATGAATACACGCATACATATTCCACCAGATGAAAAGACAGAAATGGAACTGAGAGGTTTCTGAAGTACTTATGCTATATGATTATGTATATTTTTAAAATTTAGTGGACATATTTTTGTGACTGCATAAAAGAACTCAAAGGGCAGAATCACATATATAAGTTAAATTTTAATATATTTTGTCAGTGCCCACACTGAAAAAGAGAGATATGTTACCAATTTTTATTAGGTTTTAAAAACCAAATACTGCAAAAATAATAGTCTATCACTTCACACATGCAAAGACAACTTCAGGTGCCCTGAGTAGGAAGGTAGCTAATCCACAGATATTCTGCCCAGATGATAAGGTTCATTGAATAGGCAGGCTTGATGCTCAATCCCTATGAGCAAAAACGAGGTTATATTAGTAAATCAAGAAACTAGGGTTATGGTCAGAATAAAATCAAAATAATTATGATAACAAGCAGAACTTTTTCTTATCTAAACATTTTTTTATTGAGGTAACATTGGTTTACAACATTAGAGAGATTTCAGGTGTACATCATTATAATTTGCGTTCCGTATTCCCTGCACCATGTTCACCAGCAAGAGTCTAGTTTCCATCTGTCACCGTCACGTGTGCCCCTTTACCCTTTCGCCCTGCCCCACCCGTTGCCCCTCTGCTAACCACCAGTCTGGTCTCTGCATCCATGTGTGTGTTCGTTGTTTTATCTCCCACATATGAGTGATGGAGCCATTTAAATGTCATATATACTCAGTATAACATATCGAAATACTCTTTTATACAGCAACTGAGTTAAAAATATAGTAGCACATAGCAAAGAAAACTAATTCAAGGCAAGCACTAATGGAATTTTTCCCTTAATTCCAACAGAATACAGTAAGTGAAAGAAAGACTATGAAAGTTGATCATAGGGAGAGGGCATGGTCCTGACCACCATAACATAACATGGTGTGGCAGTCTCCCCCAAAGTGAAGCATGCACACCTCACGACTCACAAGTCCACTGTTGGGTACAAGCCCAGAAATGGATACAAATGTGCACACACATGAAATGTTCGTAACAGTTTTATTCATAACAGCCCCAAACTTAAAATAACCCAATATCCATCAACCATAGTTGATAAAGATATTGGGCATATTCATATGATGGAATATTATACAACAATGAAAAAGAATTACTGTTGCATGCAATAGCATGGATGAATTTCGCAGGTGAAACATTGAGTGAAAGAAGCCAGATACAAAGGAGAACACACCACAAACTTTAGACCTGCATAGACTACTTAAACACCCCAATTCTGCCACATTATTAAGTCTCATTCTGTAATGATTTCACCCTTAAACCAAGTCATAATTTGAATATGGTCACTGCTGGAAACACAAGTAGTTAAACGTTTCTAAAGTGGGATCTACTCACATTGATGATGATGTTCAGAGATTCATCATTGGGAAGGAAAATGCACACACTCCGGCGGTCTTGCATGACTCTGTTGTTGTGGAAGCTCAGTTTGTTCATGGTGTTGTGGGCTCTCCAGTGGTCAGGGCTGGGCTCGGAGTCCTCGGCAAGTCTTCCAGTTCCAAGCACGCCAAAGCCAAACTCTGCTCCTCATCACATGCCCTACTGGAGAAGCATGATGTTCCGCTACGTCGGCTTCATTGCTGTAAAACAGTCCAGAAGAAGACAGTGAATAAAGGCGGTGAGCTTGGGAGGAGAGAGATGGGGAGATGAGCAGCACAACCACTCCTGCTGGCACAGGGACAGCACGTCTCAAAGCTACGACTGCCTAGTTGAACACATGAGAACTCACTGAAATTTTTCTGTTTGTGCCCACTATCAACTGTTTTAAAACTGTGATTCACAGTCATGAAGTAAACATAAAGCCATGAGTGCCTCACAGCTTCAAGGCAGCACTATGCATGCAGGGCTTACAAAAGCAAAGGCCTGCCTTGGAGGGGTTTCCAGTCTCACAGTGAGACAACAAAGGGTCCTGAAAAGAAACAAACAAAATGACAAAAGAGCAACAACAAGAAAATTGTCAACCTCTCTCTTTTTTTATTTCCATTACAATCAAACTCAAATAAATGTCTTGGCTCTTACACTCCATTCCTTCTTCCCCCACTGTGGTCTGCCTTACACTGCCTTCCCTTCCCCAACATGGCTCTGCTAAAAGCAGCCAGTGCTCTCCAGACCACCAGGAGGACCCACAGGAGTCCCTGGAACTGACCTCCCCACGACACTAACCAAGGACGTGGGGCCCTCCTTACAACTTTTCTCTCCCAGAGTTTTTACGGTGCTGCTCTCTCTCCTGATTCTCTAACCTGACAATGCAAACTTAATTTTTGTACTTGTTACTTCACCAACCAATTAATACATACAAATAATAAGACTATGTATGCAAAACCATGTTTGTATACAAAAGGGCTGTGAATTTTGGATACCTCTCATACCTAATCAGTTTATTAAACAGATTAATTTTATTTAACTTCCCTCAGATTTTCCAGGTATACTATTTTGTTTGCAAGCCATAAAGATTTTATTTCCAATTTTCAATAATCACACCTTTAAATATGTTTCACGTCTCATTGCATTGGCAAGAACTTGCAAAATAATTTTAAAACAATAGTGGATATTCCCCACTTTTAAAGTGTGTCTAATGTTTCATATATTATTGCTATTATAACACTATTCAACCAACACATGTTAAGACTAGTTGCCTCTCAAACCAACAGTAATGATTTATATTGTTCCTTTCCAGCTATATTTGTAGGATACGTAGGAATTTCCAGGAATACGGAACTGTTTTACCAGAGAGTTTAACTATGCAGTTTTAATTACAAAGCAAAGCTATTATCAGTGCTCACATACATCAAAGCACAAATGAGGTAGGATCTTGGCCTATTTGCTTCAGGTTAAATGTCCATCTGTTATCAGCAGGAGGATGGGAGAGAACACATTCTTAGACAGCACCATGAGTAAATATAAACTAGTACTTCTTTTTAAAGTATAAATAAAATACCATCCACAAGGGAGCTACTCACACTAAGAAAAAACAAACAGTAATCCTATATACAGTATTTCCTTATTAGGAAGGTACCGAAAGGTCCCTTAGGAGTATTCTACTAGGACAGTAGCAATTGTTTCCCATTAGGTTGCAGCCAGCACGTCACCCGATAGGGTCACTGGAGGTCAGGGTTGCTGTTCTCTTCAGGATGGGATGGTTAGCCCACGTGTTCTAGGACCACAAACTAACTGCACCCCAAATCCAACCGCCATCTGGAAAATGCACACTTTCAGTTCAACAGTTCCAAAGCAGCAACTGGAGGGCCAGTGGGTTGTATAAGAATCAGCCGGGTACTTGTAATAAACACAGACTCCTGAGCACAGGGACATTTCTGCTCACTTGAATCTCCAGGATCAGGGTCCAGGAATCTTAACCTTTCAAAAAAGCTCCCCAGGTGTTTCTGACACACAGTCACGCACGGAAACCACACTTCAGTTAACAGCAGGAAGGTGCCGAGCAGAGGGCTGGACAGAATACCTCCATAGAATACGTCGGGAACACATCTTGAGGTATAGGACTGGGGACAAGCAACAGATGTGCAAGATACGACATCATCACTACAACTGAAAAAAACGTCCTCAATGTTTTCAAAGGTATAAATTCCTAAAACAGGTCAAATTTGTGTACTCAGAACATCTTCCTGAAAAATGTTACTAGGTGATCCAGGGATAAATAAGTTGGGGAAGCAGGGTATCCTATATATACCCTCTCTGAGAAATTCAAAAAGTGTTGAAGGCTCTGAGAAGTCCTGTAGGCAATTTCTTAAATTTGTTTAATATTTCTCAAACTCGGGCAGAGAATACTCCCGCCCCCAAGATATATCTATTAAGGTCCTATAGAATAATATTCTTAGGCATACCATCTGAGAAATACAGTTCTAAAACAATTTCCTTGTCAAATATTATATTTCATGGCAGTTTTTCCCCTAGGTATTGATATATTCCAACACTCAGGCCTCCTCTCTGCTGTTAAAACCTTTTCAAGAAGAAATTATAAACTATGATTAAATCCATCTTATTTAAATTCAAACCCTGATATTAATCCCAGTATAATTCTTCTTATTTAAATCTACACTTCAAATTGAGTTACTCCTATAATTTTCCATTTCTAATTAAACTAATTAAAGGGGGTATTTCTACTGACCTATTTTCTAGAATTTAAAAAATAAAATATGGAAAAAATACTTTCTAAGGTTTGGGATGGATGTTTCCAGAGCTTCATTAAAATAATTTTCTAAAATTTCATTTGAGCTCAATTTTTATGTATTTATGATTCAAATAATGCAGCAAAAAAAGACTGCAAGAGGATTATTGAAGAAAATTTAAGAAAAGCAGAGTCTTTAAGAAGCAGTAGGGGATGGCAAACTAGAAAAGCCCTGAAAGAGAGACAGGATTAAGTTTGTACTTTGTACAATGTACCGCGGCTGCATTAAAGTTGGTCAAAAGGTTCCACAGAAATAGCAAAATACCCATCTCTCTACTATGCTTCAGATTACAATTTAATCTTAAATCGGGCAGTCCTGGGGAGAAGTGGACAAAATGTACACCAATTTGAATTGGAGAAATCAGCCTCTGAACCACTGGCTACTTATTCTGTGTCCTAAGGTAAGTCCCACTCCGCCCCAGGAGGGCACATTTCCTGCTCCAGGGCAGCCCTCTTCGGTCCAAGGACCTTAGGACAGACCAACTAGGAAAAACAAACCGTGTTGCAGTATCCTATTTCCCAGGCAACAACAAAACAGCTTTCATAGTGATCAAACCCCATCCTGCCTCTTTTATTAATACCCCACTTACAAACCAAGTATGTTAAGCTATAAGATTCCCTCACTTAAATTTTAAACCCACATTATTGTAAATTCCTTATTTCCCAATAAGCCCCATTGGTTACAAAGTTACATTTCTTTTAAGATTCAGGAAGCTACCACCTGTGGACATTCAATACTGATTTCTATTTTTTAGAAATTATCGAAAATAATCTTTAAAACTGGGTCACCTCGGAATAAAAGCATAGACTTTAGTTCATTATAAGTATCAGTACTGGTTCATCAGTTGTGAGAAATGTACCACAGTCATATAAGACATTAACAACAGGGGAGAGTGGGCACACGTGGGGCATATGGGAACTCTCTGTACCATCTTTGAAACTCTTGTATTTCTAAAAGTATTCTAAAATAAAAAAGTTTATTAAAAAAAAAAAAAAAAACTAGGTCAACAGAAATTTCCGACCCACATAATATAGCCTCACTTTGGAGGATTCTCAATTCTGAGATTGTCACACTAAAAAAACTGAAAAGATGGTAATGTGATTAAGAAGATTACTCTAAGGCAAACCTGGTTAGTAGGCATATTTCAACAGTCAATAAGGTACCTTTATTACCTCACAAAAACAAGGCAAAAAATTATCTTGGAAAACGGGACTACAGAGTGCTATCTTCGAATTGAACCATCACACATTTATGAAGCTCAAGTTATACACAGAGCACTGTAGTATTTATCTGCTGAAAGCAGAATACAAAAGCAATAGAAGATGTGCCCCTACACCCATGAGGTCACGATCCAGTTAGGGACACACCAATGCCAAGAAGCTTAAGACGACGACCTTGTTCCTGCTTCCCAAGAGCACAGTGCTCCAGCGGGCAATGCCCAGGGGAAGATGTAACAGATGGCAGCACCAAGGCTATGAATGCTGTGGCTAGGATCACTGTGGAATAAAGAATATATAGTCTTTCAATGCATGGTGCCCTAAAAGGGATCAAAATGCCTTGGGTACAATCAGTTGGGGTTTTCTTGTTCATTTATCAAACATCTACTACGTGCCAAAAGCTGTTGTAGATGCAGAGTATACAGCACTGGACAAAGCAAAATTCTGCTCTAATGGAGACAGATAATGCATATATAATGTAGACGCTGATATGAGCTATAACTACAAATAAACCCAGATTACGTGAGAAAGGTGATGGAGATAAGGTGGTAGTGTGGATGTTATTTCATATATGGTATCAGAGGAAGCATCTCTGATAAGCTAATATTTGAGCAGATACACGAATTAAGAGAGGGATGTCATTTCCATCCATCTCAGGGAAGAGTTTTTCAAATAGAGGGAAAGTAAATGGCAAGGCTCACCTACTGTTCAGAAAAGGTAAAACAAAAGCACTAATTACAGCTAACATTTACTACATACTTACTATGTACCAGGTGCTGTTAAGTACTTATGGAATATTAAAGAAAACTGTAAACTCTTTGCCATGCTTCCCATTAAGAGGTGGGATCTATTTCCCACCCCCTTGAATCTGGGCTGGCCCTGAGACCAACAGGCTCAGTCAGAAGTTCTGCTCATGGATACCTCATTTGTACAAACACTCTTTGGCTGCTATTTCAAAGCACCATCTCTTCCCTAACACTTAGTTCAGTAGCCTGTGGTTGTTACTGTTCCTGTCTATCTCCTCTACTCAGGCAGGGTCACTAGCTACACATACATATATTTTTTAATCTCCAGTGGCAGGTATATAGGATATGCTCATTAAATGTTGATTGTTTGGCTTACCACTCACGTCCTTGGACAAGGAAGATTCTAGAGCAGGGTTTCTTAACCTCGGCAC